CACAATACGAGGTTAGTCATTAATATACTGCAACAACACGGGAATAGAGCAGCTGTGAGAGAATTCAGCATTAATGAATCAAAATTGGACTTATCTGACTTTTTTTTTTTTTCGCTTAATGCGCCTTATAATCCAGTGCACCTTATAGTCCGAAAAATACGGTACTCAGAATCCAGAGGGACAAACTGTGTTGTGAGACATCCTGTCGGACTGAACAAAGAGATTCATGTCCTGTCAGAAACAACTTCCTGTGTCATTATGTGAGAAAACTTCATCATCAATAAAACAAGCTTCAAGAGCAGTGAAAGAATATGGTGCAAAAGTCAACAACTTCTAAATAACAGAAAGTTTACTACAGTATATCAACCTTCTGTGCTTCACTCATGCACATTTACACATGAATAATTTAAAAGATAGAACTGCAAGGTCATAAACATTTGTTCATGGAGTTTAGAGAGGAATGGTCCTTTAAAGGTGAGAGTTTTGCTTCTTCTGAGGTCTGAGTTGACTCCTGCCTCTCCTCAGAGACTTTGACTCTCTGGACGAGTCGTCAGTGGAAGAAAACACTCGACTCGGCTTTGATGTGGCTGAACGAGAGTTTGGGATTTCTCCATTGATGACGGTGGAGGAAATGTCGTCTGTGGAAGAGCCGGACTCTCTGTCGATGGTCATGTACCTGAGCCAGTTTTACCAACTGCTCAAAGACTCGCCGCCCCCTATGGGTGAGGCTGCAAACTGCTCCCGATCAGCCATTCTACTGGAAAAGGACTGATAAAAAAGACGTGGTAATCCAATCCAGTGTTTGTTTCAGGCTGCCTGAGGCACATCACTGACCTGCGATCAGCTCTCATCGCTCCTGCCTCCCTCCTCAGCCGACTGGGAACCAGTTTGTCCAGGAAGAGGAACCCAAAGGTAGCGTAGTTCCACCTCCTCATACCTGCAGTCATCTGTGTGAAATTAAAGATGGTAATAATTCGTGGTATCTGCAGGAGCATGGGGGGGCATTGGGTAAAAAGAGGAAGACCAGTCAGCGGAGTCGAGAGCAGCAGGAGGTCAGTGTCCACACTTCACTTCAAACTCAGCTCATGTTAAATTATTCAGATCTTCAACCAGAACCAGACATTGAAGGACAGAGAGCGTTAGACATTCAGATTGGAGATGGTGAGTGGTCCGGCTGTCCGGCCATTTTCTTCGTCTTATGTAGTTCAGGGTCGGGTTCAGATGAAGACTTTTCTTTAATTCATCAAGACTCACAACTCACACAAAAGCTTCTTTTTCACTCTGATGACCCTTTTCAGTCTCTGTACGCCATGTGACTCAGATGGAGATGGAGAAGCTTCCATCACCAGGGCCTGAGCTGGCCACTCTTTCTCTCTTCAGTCTGGACTGATGGATGCGGCCTCTTTGCTCATTTACACACCACACCACTGATGGCGAGGATGCCATAAAGCTGACACCAGCACAGTGTCAGGGCCAAAGGTGGAGCTGCTGATGTCACTCTCTGTGGGAGAAGCCACCTCAGGAAACTCACTACTGTTTGGCAACTGACTTTCCTCTGATGACTATGACCTGATTTTTTTTTAATGGATATTTTGTTTTGCAGTCATGTGACCTGAATGGTGATGTTGAGAGCCAGTCATTTGAGGAGGAGTTTGTGGGTGGGGCCAGTCGGTCCAGAGTTCGTTTGATGGCCAATCAGCTACAGGCAAAGCTGCATGAAAGTTCATCTACCTGCAGGACATCTTCTTCTGCTGCTGCTGATTTCCGTCGACAAGTGAGAGCGTGCTGATTTCTGATCAATCATATTGATTTCTGATGGCCAAATAGGGGTTGTGGACATGATGTGTGTACTATTAATGTTTCTATAAATGCAAACACCCTGTGTTAACCAGCAGGGGGAGCTATCCAGCCTCCCTCCAGCCTCCCAACCAGCAGAAAGTCAGCCGACTGCATCTCCAGTTCACTTGTCATCATGGAGGCCGGTAAAGACCAGTAGAAGCCAGTAGAGACAGATGAGACATGTTGGAGTACTGATAAACTACATTTTCACTTTAAAGACTCATTTAAGAGGATGCAGGTGGCTGGATGGTTAAAATAAATAGATAATTTCCCTTTTGGCTGTTTGTTGATACTTCTGAGATCCTCATGTGAATCACACAGATGTTAGTTTGGTTTGTGAGAAGTTTCTGTCTCATGGATTCATGTGCTGGACTACGATGTAACTACGAACCAAATGGAGTTTTCGGTTTGAATTGAGACCCTTTAAAGAGGATTTCTCTATGGTGTGCGGTAGACATCACCGATTGGTTCAGGTTTTGGTTCTAGCCTCCTGCATCGTCACAGTTTCTGCAGAGTCCAGACTGCAGATGGAATAACGTCTGCTGTCTCTACCAGAAAAAACGAACTCTTCAGCAGGAGCAGATGAGTTTTCGATTCAAACAGAAGCTCAAGGCTCAGGCAGTTCTCGATGGGGACGAACAGGTGCCTGAGCAAGTACCTGAACAGGTATCTCTGATGGGTTTTGGTGTGTTTGTGTGCTGAACGTATACCCCTCCTCCCATAGTGCTCTGGTTTGTTCGGGCCTCGATGTCCCCCGGCTGCACTCGTGCTCGTCAGCCTGAACATCCTCAGTGGATCGTTGAGTCCTGCAGGGCTGTACCGATCGCCTGCTTCATGTGATCAATAACAAAGTGAGGCTCATGAATGGCTCCTATTGAGCAGAGGAGCTGTTCTCAGATCAGCCTGCAGCTCTGATGTGTTTGCTGACTGAGCACTTTGTGCGGCTGGACTTTCCCTCCATCTGCCGCTGTGTTTTCAACCAGCATCACAAGCAGGGTTTATTTTCCTCTCCTCTGGCTGCCCCATCGCTGAAAACAAGTTAGATCTCCTTGAAGATTCACCTGGTCCTGAACGGTATGGTGTCCCACAGCTCAGATGTATCGTGGCCATAAACCCTGATCAGGGTGAAGAAGCTGGAGTTACTGTCATGCCTCAGATGTTGCTGCCAGCTTTGATATAAAACTAACCCCAATATTTCACTCCAAAGAGTACAAACACAAAGACACTAAATAAATCCTGGAGACGTGGAGAACTAATCAGATGAGATGGTATCGGGTCACATGTGAAAATTCCTGCTTAAACACCATAACGCTGAACGTGATGCTGGTAAAAAGCACTTGATATCCTATCACTCTCAGTGGTGGATCAAGGGCCTCATTTATAACAACTGCATAGTGTAAATCTAAAGGGGTCTCTACTGGTGTTAGTTTCTTCACACTCAGGTGTGTGGATCAAAAAACAAACTTTTGGAAACAGAAGTTACTTCCACACCAGCATCTTCCTTCCCTTCTTTAACAGTCTCACCCTCACATTTCCTTCCCTTACCCTGACCCTGACCCTGACCCTTGGGTCATGGTCAGCTAAGGTTGTTTTCACACCTGCAGTGTTTAGTCAGTTTAAATCAACCTCTGGTTTATTCAGCCTGTCTGCACGGTTTGTTTGTGCAGGTGTGAACACAGTAATTGCACTCGAGTGCAAAACAAAACAACCGAACCAGCTACCAAGTGTATGTTACAAGTTTGAGCTAAATATCATCCTGTACAAACATATGTATTCTCAGTGCAGGAAAGTGCTATAGACGTGCAAAGGTCTGTACAGGCTAGCAGCTACCATGAATGTCTCAGAGTTCTATGAGCGGACTGAAGTGAAACAAAACAAAGCAAAACTACAAGTTTTAAACTCATCAGCTGAGTCGGACCAGAGGACACGAGCTACAGGTGTGAAAACGTCCTTTGAGGCAGATGATGTCAGGGTTCAGGTCTCGCCGTCTTTCCTGGATATTAAAAGTGAATATATGGAGTTCATTTTCAGCTCACTGCACAGGTTAACTGCAGATGAAAAGATATGGTTCATAAATGAGGCCCATGGTCTGTGGCTGTAATGTGTCTGTGTCTGTCTGTCTGTCTGATCAAAGTGCCTTCAAATGTACACGGGTGGCGTGAGCTCACTGGCTGAGCAGATAACCAGTCGTATGCAGAGTCAGGAGGACGGTGGTGGGGTAAGACTGCTTCAGTATTCTGCGCCTTGTTCCCTTCGGCTCTTTGACTTTGTTTCAATCAGCTGAAGTGAAGAAGATGTTGTGATAAATCAGCTGATAACTCTGCCCAACTGATGATGGAATTCAGTTTGCTGAGACTTCTTTTCCTCGTTTCTTTTTTCTTGTGGTTTCTTCATTTCTTTCATTCTTCATGTCCTAATGTCTCCTTTCTTTTAGCTTTTTAGTCTGTCACCTTTCCTTCCATCCCAGCCTTGTTTCCTTTCCTCCACTTTCACTTCCTTTCCTTTAACCTTTCCTCCATCTGTTGCTGTGTGTGTCCCCGCAGGTCTCTGCCAGCTGCAGTCACGTCTGTTTCTTCTGTAAGCAGAGGGTTTATGTGATGGAGCGTCTCAGTGCAGAGGGCTTGTTCTTCCATCGCAGCTGCTTCCAGTGTGGTTCCTGCAGCAGTCCCCTCCGCCTGGCCTCGTACACATATGACCAGCACACCGGTCAGTAAACTCACACCCCCCTCCTCCACCCTTCTCTGCTGTTGGGGTTTAGGTTTTAACAGGTTTCCATGTTCAGCAGGAAAAAGGAGAGGTGTTCACTCTCCTTCTGTGGGGACAAACAATGACCTCACAGTCATGAAACACATTTTTAGAGTCTCCCTGAGCAGGTCATCGCCATTGACCCTCAGAATAAACCTCCAGTTTGACCCTGACCTCCAGGAGATAAAACAGATGTCTGACTTTGAGATGAGACCATAAGAGACAGAGTTGATATGGACTTTCTCAACCCACACACTGAAAAACCTCTATTGATGGCCCTGGTGTCAGGGTGATGACATCACAAACAGGGTTGTGGCAGTGACAGAACGTTAGATTAAACCTGAGTGACAGAGCTGAACTCATCGGTCTCATTCCTGAGGCGTGGTATCAGACGATATCAGACTCATGACTAAGTGGAGGATAAAGCCTCTCTGTGTCCAGGACACAGATAAATAAAGTTCACAGTCGAATCTGTAGCTTCATTAGACAATGAGCAACAAAAACAGGGAGCAGTGTGACATCAAATAAAAAGATCCAATCAGAAACAAGAGAAGAAAAGACAAAACGGCCTCATTTGCAGATAAATTTGTTTGTTTTTGAAGAGCGTTAATGTGTGTAGGGGAAACCTGTGTCAGTCTCCGCGGTATATTTGGATCTTTGGGGATAAAAATGGAAACGGCCTCATAAACGGGCAGCTTGATGCAGAGAACAGTGCTGCGTTGTTCAGCAGTCAGCAGTTCTCTGCAGACTCAAACACTGGCCTGTGGGCCAGATCTGGCCTCCCGATGAAGATCTGTAACCATACCATGAGCTCAAGTTCTGCTCTCACCAGAGGCGGAGCCAGACATTTGAAACACCTGGGGCTTAGCCCGAAAGGGTAGTATGCATGTGGGATTTTTTTTTTTTTT